CCCAAGCCCTGAACCCCCTCAACCCCTAAACCCCCCAAGGTTGTAGGGTTGCAGGGTAATGTAGGGTACTCTTAGGTTCAGGGCTTCCCCCTAAACCCGACACCCTAAACCCTTAACCCTTAACACTAAACCCTTCGGTTTTCAGGGTTTGAGGCTAAGCCCCGTTTCTCGAGAAGCTCCCTCGAAGGCCGGAGGTTCGTTTGAACCGCCCGCGGAGTCGTCAACGAAGCAGCGGGAAATTGAGAAGCGGAGCGCAATGCACTGGGACCTGCCTAATTACTCAAGTCCTGCTGTGGCTCTGGGCTTTTCATGAAGCCAGCATGTTTCCCAATGACCCCTGACAAGTATTGCCAGTTGTAACAGTAGCTAGAATTCCATTCTAGTTGCTAGTTGAGTTTCTGGCGTGAGCTTAGGGGGGCTTTCCTTGCACATCTACGGCGTGACATCTCCCCCTATAGCTGCGTGCAGCAAGTTCCATTGTCCGGTCGGGCTATCTACGGCACTGGGCATAAGTAGAACCACCCCAGCACAAAATCCTCTTTGTAGCCCTCACCCTGAAACCCGCCCGAAACGCCAAGCTCCGCGAGAAGAAAGTGCGCAGGCACTGCGCCCGAGATGCGCAGCCCCTCCGCACTGCCTCGCAACCTTCCAAGCCCCGACCCGGAAGTCTTGAAGCCTAGGCGCCTAAGCCTGAAACCCCTTCAGCCCCCTATGGGGTTTAGCGTTTCGGGTCTTGGACCCCTAAACCCCAAACCCCAAACCCCAAACCCTAAACCCTAAACCCTAAACCCTAAACCCTAAACCCTAAACCCTAAACCCTAAACCCTAAACCCTAAACCTGTGTAGGGTTTAGGATCCCTGGGGCCCCCTAAACCCCTCGGTAGCAAGCCCTGCGAGTCACATCAGTGAGCAATTGGGTTTGCTGCTTGTGCAGGCGAAGCATGACGGATTGTTCCTGAGCGGAGCAGGTCTGGCTTCGGCGCGGTTCAGGGTTTCAGAACTAAACCCTAGACCCTAAACCCTACACCCTAGACCCTAAACCCTAATTCCTAAACCCTGAACCCTAAACCCTAAACCCTAAACCCTAAACTCTAAACCCTTCAGCGTTGCAGGACTTCAGGATTTCAGCATTTCAGAGCTTTGGGTTTGCGGGTCTAGCGGTTAGGGGTTGCAGGGTTTAGTGGGTGCTTAGAATTTGGGGCTCAGGGCATCAGGCCTTTCGGCACTCAGGATGCTTCGCTTTTAGGGTTTAGGGTTTAGGGTTTAGGGTTTAGGGTTTAGGGTTTAGGGTTTAGGGTTTAGGGTTTAGGGTTTAGGGTTTAGGGTTTAGGGTTTAGGGTTTAGGGTTTAGGGTTTAGGGTTTAGGGTTTAGTTTTTAGGGTTTAGGGTTTAGGGTTTAGGGTTTAGGGTTTAGGGTTTAGGGTTTAGGGTTTAGGGTTTAGGGTTTAGGGTTTAGGGTTTAGGGTTTAGGGTTTAGGGTTTAGGGTTTAGGGTTTAGGGACACCTCAAACTCCTAAGTCGGAACTCGGGACTTTGGCAGGGTAGGGTCTGCCTGGATAGGGATGATCTAGAGTGGAAACCCTCAAACCCTAAACCCTAAACCCTAAACCCTAAACCCTAAACCCTAAACCCTAAACCCTAAACCCTAAACCCTAAACCCTAAACCCTAAACCCTAAACCCAACCCTAAACCCCTCGTCTCTAATTCCCGATTTTGGGAGCTTCCTGCGTTGCCCTTTCTCTCAGCTGCCCCCAACCCCCGGTTCCAGGGTTTCAGGGCTTACAGGTCTACCCCATAAGAAGGCGCAGATAAAAACAGGGCTGGTGGGACCCCTTCTCTACATAGACCCCAGCAGGCCCTCTAGGATTCAGGGCTTCGGGCAAGCGTGCCCTGCATCACAGCCCATGGACTCAAAACACGCTGGACAGTTTGTACTCTAGAGGCCTGAAGAATTAGAATAGGGTTTTGGGCGGGGTTGTTGTGGTATGATTGCAAAGGGACCCTCAGGGAATACTCTTGCTAATTATTCCGACCCCTCTAGTAGGAACGCGCTGGGGTTGAGGGTCCTTGTGATCATAAACCTTAAACCCTGAAGGCGGGAAGACCTGAACCAACTGTCAACTGCCCAGGCACTCATCCCGCGTGTTGAAGTTCCAGCTCATCCTGGGGCGCAGGGTGTGGGTTTCGAATTTGGGGTTCAGGGTTTAGGGCATGCCAAACAGACTCGCGATTTGTGAGCGCATTAGTCTGCAGACCTACCCACCCCAAGACCGCCACTTACAGCTCTCATGGAGTGAAAGCCTGCCTTTCTTCTCACAAAGCAACATGTACTCTTGATGCGAGGCGATTTTGACGGAACACTTGGATCACTTGGGTCGCCTAGGAGGTGGCACACTTTCGTCAGCACTGGGACCACTTGGGTTGCTTGGGTCACTGGGTACACTTCATTCACTCAGTCAATTGGGACACTTGGGACACCTGGGTCAGTTGGAGTGCGTTTCAGGCATTCCGGACCTTTGTCACTGGGGTCTTTTTGAAGCACTTGGAGCACACTTTGGGTCCCTGGCGTGGGTTCGGACGTTGGGGTCACTTGAGGCTGCCGGGTCACTTAGGTCACTTTGTGACACGCAAGACATTTGGGACACTTGTGTCATTTGGGGCACCTGGCACACTCCGGTCACATGGAATACTTGGGCCTTTACGCCACCTAAGACTGTTGCCTTAGGATTTTTAAGCCGCCGAAGACTTGTGTCACATGGGACTGTTTGGAGCACTTAATTAGGACACTTGGCTCGTGTTTGGGAGCCCCTGGGCACACGTTCTTTTCGGGCCAGAACCTTTCCAGGGCGCCTTTCGGTCTCCCGACGTGTTTGCGGGCACCCAGACCGCCCCGGACCGCCGCGGACAGCCCCGGACCGCCCCGGAACGCCCAGCATTGCACAAGAACGACGACGGATGTGCCGGGTCAGCTTAGGTTCCTCGCAGGGTCTTCGCTGAGCGCTCGAGGTCCCTGCGTCCGTCTGCCAAAAGACAAGTGAGAGGGGTGGCGGGCGGGGCTTTGGGTGAAGGGTGCGTGGTGTAATTTGTTGGGGTGGGGTGGGGCCCTAAACCCTAAACCCTAAACCGTGACCCCTAAACCCTAAACCCCTAAACCCCTAAACCCTAAACCCTAAACCCTAAACCCCTAAACCCCTAAACCCCTAAACCCCCTGGGGCCGCGGCTGACGGAGGGCGCTGCTCAGCGTCCGCGCCACGGGTGCCTGGGGGCCTCCCATCGGCGCAGTCTGCTTCAGGGGTAAGTAGGGTTTAGGGTTTAAGGTTTAGGGTTTAGGGTTTAGGGTTTAGGGCTTAGGGTTTAGGGTTTAGGGTTTAGGGCTTGGGGCAAATTAAGGTTCTGGGAATAGGAACTTTCAAGCAGCGTTGGGGGTTTCAGGGTTTGGGGTGTAGGGCTGAGGAACTTGAGGTTAAGGGCCTGCTGGGCTTAGGGTTGAAGGAGTCCTGGGGTTGGAGCTTTTCGTGCTTTCACGGCTTAGAGGGTTTGGGGTTGTGGGCTTCCGAGCCTTCTTGAAACTGCTCCTACACTCTCATGTGTGGCGTTTCGGGCTCAGGGTTCAGGGGCCCCTAAACCCTAAACCCTAAACCCTAAACTTATTTGGTTTGAAGGGTTGCTGCTGCCCCTGGCCTTCACTGCGGCGCTCATCTGTGCGAGAGCCTGTGACAAGAAACGGCCACGTCTGGCTGTGAGGTCATGGCCCCTTAGTATGGGCCCATACATCAGAACCCTTTAAGAGGCATGGGACCATATTAAGGGCCCATACATCAGAACCCTTTAATGGAGGCCAAGGCACCGCATTACGGGCCCATGAACCTACCCTCACACCCTCAGCTTCTCTGCCCTACGCCGCCTACCAGCGCCGTGGCCTCGTCACAGCAAGCAGCTTCACAATGTGGACCAGCGCAAGACCCTCAACACTATCTCACTATCTCTAAACCCTAAAACTAACCCTAAAACCCTAAAACCCTGAAACCCTAAACCCCCTAAAACCCTGAAACCCTGAAACCCGAAAACCCTAAACCATTTTTCCCCTTAAAACCCTCAACCTCAGATAGGGGTGAGCTAAATCACGGGGACTTCTTGAAAAAAAAATCCACATGGTAGTCGGTCTGTGCCCAGAAACCGAGAACGGACCCTGGTAGTCCCAGGCCCCCCGAACCTTAGGGTCTAGGGTTAAGGGTTGAGGGCTTCCCTACACCCTCAACCTTAGACCCTGAACCCTAAACCCTTGATGTTGACCCTCAACCCTTGATGTTGAGGGTGGTTAGGACCACGGGGTGCCTGAGCCGTCCTAAACTCAGGCTTTGGGGTGTACTGGGTTTAGGGTTTAGGGCTAGGGTTTAGGGTTTAGGGTTTAGGGCTTAGGGCTTAGGGTTTAGGGCTCAGGGGTTTCTGGCTCCCGTGCAGCCAAGAAACTTTGGTGTCTAGGTTGAGAGTATTGACGATTTGGCTTAGGGTTGGCGTTTAGGGTTAGGGTTTAGGGTTTAGGGTTTAGGGTTTAGGGCTTAGGGTTTAGGGATTAGGGTCTAGGGTCTAAGGGTTTAGCGTTTAGGGTTTTGGGGTTTAGGGTCTAGGGTTTAGGGTTGGGTTTAGGGTTTAGGGTTTACGGAATATAGTATACAGCTAGCATTCCCCCCCCTTCCAACCGTGTGCAGCCCTTTTCCGCCACCACTGACGAGGTCCGGGGTGAGACGATGGACACTGGGGAAAACCAGTAACGCACCAAACCCTAAACCCTAAACCCTAAACCCTATTTAACTTACTGATTCGTTCACAGGGAGTTCGGCAACTAGGCCACATAATCCCTTTAAGGGCCATGCATGATATGCGGGGATATGCCTAAGGCACCTGATTCCCCAACTTCCCTACTAAGAACCCACAAGTTATTGTTCCCTAAACCCCACCAAACCCTTAGACTAAATCCGAACTCAGCCCAGCATTTGCCTCACCTCTGGGGGGGGGGGGGGGGGGTTCCAATGCTTGGGGAACTTGGTGACTCTGAGGAGTTTGGAGGATTTTGGGTTTGCGGTGTTGGGGGGTTTTGGGTTTTTTTGACTTTGGGGGGGGGGGGGGGGGGGTTGGGGTTGTGTGGTCTTAGGGCTTTGGGGTGGGGTTTGGGGAGTTTTGAGGTTTGGTTGGGGCTTTTTGGATTTGGGACTCTTGGGCTTGGGATTTAGGTTAGAGTTTCGCGATTTTCGGGTTCTGGGGGTTTAAGGGCATACCTTCGAAGTCTCGCACCCTAATTCCCCTAAACCCTAAGCCCCAAACCCTAAACTCTAAACCCCAAGCCCTACATCAGCATGCGAGAGGAAGCCTAAGAGACTTATGGCTTACCTGCAAAGAGATGTCGGGTTGAGGGCGGGGGCAATCACCTACATCACACCGACCAGGAGAAGCAGCCCCCTTTGGCGCTAATTAGCCTAGACCCCTAAATCCTCAAAAACCTCCAAACCCTCCCAACAACTCTCCAAACCCCCCCAAACCCTCAAAACCACCAAAATCCACCAGAAAACCCTAAAACACCCCAAAACCCTCAGAACAGCCCCAAAAAAACCCAAACCCTCAAACCCCAAACGTACTCAGTGCCCGCCAAGCCACGTGCCATTCACGTTCTCACCCGGGGCTCCTCCTAGAGGGTTTAGGGTTTAGGGTTGAGGGTTTAGGGTTTAGGGTTTCGGATCCACCCTCAACACCCCATGCGTTCGGAGGGGGGGGGGGGGTTTCCAGACCCTTCCCGCACAAGCCTAAACCCTAAACACACTAAACTCAAATTAAGCCCGAAGCCCGACCTGTCATCACCTGTGTGCCAGAACCTCCCAGCCCTGAGACCCTAAACCCCTAAACACCCCTAAACCCTGACCAACTTAACGGTCCACAATGCTGGAAGAAGTCCTGGCGAATGCAGTCGCGCCTCCCCGTGGATTCATCCGATGTCGCCCCCCTAAACCCTTTAAGCCCTGAAGCCCAGGACTCTAGACCCTTTACCAATGAAACCTCCGTAACCAGGACAAGGGCCCGCTCTCCGTGAGCTTTAGTTCTGAAGGGGGGAAGGGGGGGGCGGGGGGGGCGGCGTGATGAGAAATCATGTACATCTTGTGCTTGCCTACCCTTAAAGCCCGAGGCCCGAAATCCAAAACCCCTAAAGCCTTCAGCTCTAAACCCTAAACCCACAGGTGCCTTAACTAAACGAGGGACAAAAAACCCACTAGTAAACCCTAGTAGATCCTAAAAACGCCTAAACCCCAAGCCCTAAGCTCTAAACCCTAAAACACCCTAAACCCTAAACCCTAAACCCTGAACCCTAATCAGCTCGGAAGCTAAACCCGACTCATCAGAGGCGCCTCCTCCGGGACCTTCCATCCTCAAGGCGGCTGTCAGGGCCGGGTCTTATGGCTATAGGGTTGAGGGTTTTAGGATTTGGGGTTTAGGGTTTCGGGTTTGGGGTTTGGGGTTTGGGGTTTGGGGTTTAGGGTTTAGGGTTTAGGGTTTAGGGTTATTCTAGGGACTCTTGGGTGGGTTTTGGGTTTTTGGGGTTCTTTGGGTGGGGTGTAAGGTTGAGGGCTTGGGTTGAGAGTTTAGGCGAATGAGGTACCCTATATCCCCCCATATATTCCCTTGAACGGGTTATGTAGGGCACCTCTAGTTCCCCCATCTTCGACATTGTCGGCCCTCGCAAGTCCTAGAGGACTGAGCACCTACGCAGAACGGAGTGCTTTTGGGCACAAACCCTAAACCCTAAACCCCAACCCCGGAACCCCAAACCCTAAACCCTAAACTACATGGGGATGGATTAGAAGGAGATATTGGTAATTCAAGGGCTCCTTGGTCGCTTCGCAGGGGGCGCGTCGCCCTGCCAGCCGCGCTTGAAGGTCATCGACACCTCCTGGGCCAAAATCTTGGTTCAGGGAGTTGTGAGTGGTTGTTAAGGGTTTAGGGTTTCGGGTTCAGGGTTTAGGGCTTTGGGTTTAGGGTTCCCGAAACCCTAAACCCTTCCAAAGGTTTGTTTTTGGCTGCTTCTGAAGTCTTGGACCTCAAAAACTGAAGGTCCGGGCCCCGCCAAAGAGCGGAACTCGAACTTCGTTCGGTTGGCGCGCGACTCAGTCCTCCCAGGTCCACAACTACCTTATAGCCATCCTACCCTGGAAACCATTGAACCCTTAAACCATCACCCTAAACCCTAAACCCTAAACCCTAAACCCTAAACCCTAAACCCTAAACCCTAAACCCTAAACCCTAAACCCTAAACCCTAACACCCTTGAAAGCCTTCGCCCCAAAGTCCTTCTTGAAGCCTTCATCACCCTGTGAAAGAGAAGCCAACCCCCCAAAACACCAAAATTCTCCAACCGAGCGGCAGAGTGGAGAGGCCGAATGTGTCAAAATGGATATGTTTGGGAAGTTTGTACTATCACGACGCAGCGGCCGAAATTCTAAGCACCTCAAACCCTAAACCCTAAACCCTAAACCCGGAAGTGCTTTTTACCAGGTTGGGGCCCAAGAGTCGTGACATCTCCATCTGCCGGTCATGCCGTTGTCGAGCATCTCTGCCCAGAACCAGACCTCCCCAGCTTGATCTCTTCAAACCTCAACCCTCCTAAATATTTGGGACTACGGGGTTTAGGATTTAGGGTTTAGGGTTTAGGGTTTAGGGTTTAGGGTTTAGGGTCTATCGAAGCCCCAAACCCCTTAGCCCTGGGCCCCAAAACTGCCCAACCTTAAGCACTTCGCAGGGGTTCTCATAGTCTGGAGCCAAGCGGCCAAGCGGCCCCCTATAGGGTTTAGGGTTTGAAACCCCAAAAGGTACAACCTCAAGGCCCCTAAACCCTGAGCCTTTGTGGTACCCTAAGCCCTGAAACCCTGATAACCCTAGCCCTGAGAAACTGAAGCCCGGCACCCTCGGATATTCCGGCTCAACCGCCCAGCCCAGGCCTACCCTAAACCCAAAAAACCCTTAAAACCCTACACCCTAAACCCTAAACCCCTAAACCCCTAAACCCCTAAACCCCTAAACCCCTAAACCCCTAAACCCCTAAACCCCTAAACCCCTCAACCCTAAACCCTAATCCTCAAAGGAGATGCCCTCTGGCCCTCTTCATGGCCCAAGCGGCGCGCTGGCCAACCAGGTTGAAGCCATGGGCGACCTCTTCTCAAGGGTTTAGGGTTTAGGGTTTAGGGGTTTAGGGTTTAGGGTTCAGGGTTTAGGGTTTAGGGTTTGAGGGTTTAGGGCTTAGGGTTTAGGGCTTCGGGTCTTTAATTTGGGTCTTAGTTACAGTAAGTTTTTTTTTAGGAGGCCGTGCAGAGTGTGCACCAACAACGGTGTCGAGAACGCAAATATTCCAGAAGCATCGTAGGAATAGAAGCTCTGGTCCTTCCGAACTGAGAACAACCTCCTTCCACGTGGAGGTTTACGAAAAAAATAGACCCCCAAAATAGTAGGATTCCTTTACAATCAGGACCCAATATGGTACCACGAATGTCGGAAACCCCCATGTGGCACTGTCCAGAGACTCGGGCGGGAACAAACATGTGGCAGCTTCCAACTTCTCAAGTGCCGCGCTACATCTTCTGGTTTAGGGTTTAGGGTTCAGGGTTTAGGGTTCAGGGTTCAGGGTTCAGGGTTCAGGGTTCAGGGTTCAGGGTTCAGGGTTCAGGGTTCAGGGTTCAGGGTTCAGGGTTCAGGGTTCAGGGTTCAGGGTTCAAGGTTCAGGGTTCAGGGTTCAGGGTTCAGGGTTCAGGGTTCAGGGTTCAGGGTTTAGGGTTTAGGGTTTAGGGTTTAGGGTTTAGGGTTTAGGGTTTAGGGTTTAGGGTTTAGGGTTTAGGTTTACGGTTTAGGTCTTAGGGTTTAGCCGCTTGCGGTGGGTCCGCAGATACGTTCCGGGGGTGGGAACGTCCGCGGGTTTTGAGCTGTGTTAGGGGCTTAAGGGTTCATAGGGTTGTTCCCTGGTGGCTTCATGCTTCAGAGGTCATGGGGATCGCTTGGGGTGTAGAGCAGTTCTGGGGCTTGGGGTTGGGGGGTGTAGAGCAGTTCTGGGGCTTGGGGTTGGGGATTTCAAGGTTGATTCCCACTTGCCTTAAGGGGCTGCTGCCCCCTGAACCTCCCTGAAGGACCAGAAGCAAAGTTAGAGTAATAGGGCCTAGGCTTAGGGTTTAGGGAAACTACGGAACTTCGGTGTGGGATAAAGGAAGTTGGCCTTAGAGCCTGGAGTGACACATCTGGGGAATCACAGCTGATAGTTTGGGATTTCGGGGTGGCATAGCCAGGAAATACGACCTCGAAGCCTTCAAGGCCCCTTGTCTGCTCACTCAGGGCGCTGCCTTTTGCTGGTCGTCTGGGACCATGTCCTCAAAAGAATCGTTCCGGGACTGGGGCTGCCAATTGGCTTAGGGAAACACCCCGACTCCCCGAAGGCCCTGACTCTCCCTTACGTCGCCTTGCGGTCCATCAGCCCCCACCCCCCCCCCCCCCCCCCCCCCCCAAAAAAAAAAAAAATAATAAAAATAAAACGCAATGAAAGAGAATCATATATAGAATAGAAAAACACATGTACATATACAAGCGAGAGAGAGAGAGAGTACATGCTACAGGGGAGGTTGAAGATGAGCAAGGGAGGCGGTCCAAACGGCCCTAGCGTTCTCCTTGGGTATTTGAGGTGTAGGGTTTCGGGTTCAGCATTTGGGGCTCTGGGGTGGGACCTGAAAGACACCCTCCATCTTCCTCGGAGGAGAGCTTGTGAGAGCGCAGGGCTTTGGGGCGTCATGGGGCGTCACACCATACCGACATCAAGAAGAAAGCCACCTTGATTGGTGGTGCTTCGGGATTAGGGTGCAGGTTATACGTTGGGATACTCCCCCTTCTACTAACAGTCCTTAATGGGGATGACCATAGCCCCTACTATAATCCCTATGAGGACTGTTGGTATCCCTAAACCCTAAACCCTAAACCCAAAGAAGAACATCCCAGGTTACACACTCCAACGATGCAGTGCGCCTTGATGTGGAAGTAGAGATCCGTCTCATCGCAGTCCACGTTCACGAAACCATAGCCCCGATCCTTCCAGAATAAGGGTTTAGGGTTTAGGGTTTCGGGGCCCTAAACCCCTAAATTCTCGAAACCCTGAACCCCTTTTTCAAACCTCACCCCAAAGACCCCCCAAACCCTACAGAAACCCTATCCGCTAAACCCCTATACGGCCCAAGCCCCCGAAACCCCTAACACCCCTCAACCCTACAAAACCCCTAACCTCTAAAACCAACGACCCTAAACGACCCTAAACGACCCTAAACGACCCTAAACGACCCTAAACGACCCTAAACCACCCTAAACGACCCTAAACGAGCCTAAACGACCCTGAACCCTAAACGACCCTAAACGACCCTTACCCCAGGACCCCTAAACCCCTAAACCCCTAAACCCCTAAACCCCCAATGGTTTTATCGGGCTCGGGGTTGCATTCAGGGCGTTCGAGCTCAGGGGGGCTCTTGGGCGTCGCGGTCTGAATCCTCTGAGGCTCCCACAGTTTGAGGGATTCATGCGTTTAGGGTCTAGGGTTTAGGGTTTTGGGCTCGGAGTTCAGGGCTCCATTCGGGCGGAAGGGTTGCAAGGTTAGGCCCGCTTCCGAAGCCTGAATTTGGTCGCCTTCAAAACGATGGCAGGGTGGGCGGGTGGCCGGGGCCGGCCGCACAACGGGACAAAGAGGTTGAACCTTTTGGGTCTCAAGCGAATTTACAGTACCGGGTTTAGGTCGTAGGGTTTAGGGTTGCCTTCTCAGTACCTAAGTGAACCCTCAGTGCATAAACCCCAGCAAGCCCTTCTAGTTCTCTTGGAAAGGAATTACCATCAAGGATCCAGGGTAAGCCCCAAAACAAGGAAAGCTCCGGCCTACGCCCTAAACTCTAAACCCCAGGACCCTAAACCCCAAGCCCTAAGCCCTAAGCCCTAAACCCTAAACCCTAAACCCTAAACCCTAAACCCTAAACCCTCAAGGGCCTTGTTGAAGGTACGGATGGTACCGCTGACCTCCGCGCCATCGTAGAGCAGGCTCCCCGTTCCCGGGATGATGGCCTGGCGCACTAAGGGGGGGGTAAAAGGGCTCTTTTGCGGCTTCTTAGGGTCTAGGGCTAGGGTTTAGGGTTTAGGGCTAGGGTTTAGGGTTTAGGGTTTGGGGTTTAGGGTTTAGGGTTTAGAGTTTAGGGCTTGGGGCTTGGGGCTTTGGGGGCTGGAGAGGTCTTTGGGGGGTGTTTTTTGGGGATGTTGTACAGGGCTGTTGCAGGCCTTCATAGGGTTCATCAGGTTGATGCAAGCGGTCGCGCAGAAGCTTCGGACGCAGATCCGGAAACACTCACCGGACGCGGAGGCACGCGGGACCGTGGCCATTTACAAGAACTATCCCATGTGCCTTGTGAGTGGGGGTGTGCTGGTAATGGTGCATCGCGAAAGATCGTGGGCATAGACAACAAAAGCTGTGTCGAGCCCTAAACCGCACAGCTACTTTACCTGGCGGTCACTGAGAGCTGCCGGAAGATGTTCCTGACCCATCGAAAGCATTACGCACTCTACTGCGTCTACTGTTCAGCCCTTCAGGATGGCCCTTAAAACCCCCTGAATTTTAATCCTGCCTAAAGGTACCCAACCCTCTTCAACCCAACAAGGGAGATATTGAAAAAATGTCCCAAGAGCCTGCCTAGAGTACCTTCCACATTCACACTACGAAGCTGCACGAACATCGAGAAGGAGCTTGGACAACCAGACCCTGTGAACTCCGAATCCTCAACCGCTAAGCACGATACCCTAAAAAGCCCTTGAGCCCTTGAGCCCTTCGACCCTACCCCCCCCAAACCCTTAAACGCCTCAGAGCCCTCAACCTTAAACCGACGGACAGACGCGGGTGTACCAGCCTCGTGCGCCACCTGCGCCGCTTTCTGGACCGCGGCGTCCACCTGGGCAGGTTTCTGTGCGGAGAGGGCCATGGGCGCACCTAAATCCTGCCAGCACCAACAGGCTGCGAGCCTGCTTCAAAACCTAGAGTCACCTTAACCCTAGTATAGGGTATAGAGTACCCTTAACCCTAAACCCTAAACACACAGCAAACAAAAGTCTGCAACTTTGGCCAAGGCGGCAGCGGCGGCGTCACTCATGACCTCTTGCGTGCGGAGCTGAGGCAGCTCACGGGGAATCTCCCAAGCCCTAAACCCAAAACCCTAAGGCCCTAAACCCTAAACCCGAATAATTAAAACACAGATAACCTCAATAACCCTAAGTCTTCCGAAATAACCCCCTCATCGTGCTTTTATGTCATGATCATGAAAATAACTGCAATTGCAGTTGCCATTCCGATTTATTCATATGATTAGGGCTTAGGGCTGGGGGCTTGGGCTTCGGGCTTGGGGCTTAGGGTTCAGGGTACGCTAACCCTGCGCCCTGAAGCATAAGGTGTGAATTCCGAAGGCAGCCTCCTGTTCTGAGCCTGCTAAACTAGACCCGGGAGTAGCCTGGGAATAAGAAGAGTACCCTTTTGGATTTTAAGGGGAGTATAAGGGAACCCCAACCCGAAAGAAAGGACAAAAGGGCCTACTCCCGGTCCTAGTAAAGGACTTTGGGATCGCTGGGCTGGCTTGCGGTGAGGGCAGGGTTTATGGATCTTGGGGCTACGGGACGTCAACAAGCAAGCAGCTCGGAAGGACATGCACTCCAGTCCCTGTCAACATTACATACAACCCAACCCCCCTTACACCCCTACACCCCTACACCCCTACACCCCTCCACCCCTACACCCCTGCACCCCTACTCCCCTACACCCCTACGCCCCTACACCCCTACACCCCGAAACCCCTGCACCCCTACACCCCGAAACCCCGAAAAAATGAGCAGGCAGGCGGCGGCGCCAGGCGACGTGGAGACGTCGCGCGCCCGAAGCCGGCCGCCGCCTGGTTTTAGGGGTTTAGGGCTTGGGGTTTAGGATTCGTTTAGGATTTCCCTTAACAACCCCAAACCTACCTTTTTTGTAGGTTAATGTAAGAATCCTACAAAGGGTATTCTGATAGCCACTTACAAAAATATAGGTTTGGGATTCTTAAGGTAGGGGTGAGGGGCTTGGAGCCCTACAGGAATTGAACCCTGAACCCGAACCGTGAGTCACATAAATCCCGCAAGTTTAGATCATGTCCTGCCTGTCTTTGCGGTTTCGTGTTTGGGGCCTATAAGCCTTCAGGGTTCAGGTTTAAGGCTTGACGTTGTAGGGTTAGGGGTAGGGTAGGGGTGTCTCGAAACGGACTGCGAACAATTCTGTGGCCGGGGAGCTCTTACATGAGGTCTCTGCATCAGCAGCGTCATTTCTTCTGTGCCCACCCATGTCCATAAGAGGTGGGCGCTCCCATCCGTAACTAGCTCCGCCTTTTAGGGCTTAGTTGAAACTATCTGCTTTGATGTTTCCCTTATGCTTCACCTCTCTTTCTTGTTTCTTCCTTCAACTGCATATGATTAGACCAAACCAGGTAGTCTGCATGGGGAAATGGGGTCTTTGCAAGCCTCGCATCTGTCAAACTTCGGGGTCCTATTCGCGTCGGCTGCGCGTGCCCCAGCGGCTGCTCCGCTTGAGACAGCCCCTACAGTTGACATCGTTTGGATTACTTCATGCTGAACTCTTGCTCAAGTAGATTGAACTTTCACCTTCCAGTAGTCTGAACACGTTCCTTCCACCCGATTACTTCCAAAACTGACAAGATTTGTTGGGCGGACGAAAGGAGATAAGCCCTTTTACCGTCTTATGTCGAAACTGTGAAGCTACAGCTTGTGAAGACCTCTTTGTTGGTTGGGCATGACAAGGAACTTTTTGCTGTCACAAGGTTGAGCACGTTCGGACGAAAGGGAGAGAAGCTGCTTTACCATTGTGCTGCAGCTTGCTTGAACCTCTTTCTGCGCAGCGAGAAGCGGAAGTCCTTGATTGCTGTCACAAACTGACACACATACCAGGTGTTTCAGCAAATCGAACACTGACACATATACCCCAACAGGTTTGGCCCTAAATCCGTATATGCTGAGCCGCATACGCTAAACTGCATACGTTAAACTATACTTACGGAACCACATTCGCCAACCTTTATTCACAATTTCAAAGATATCCAGTAGACCAATATCGTCAAAAACAAAGTCGTTAAACCATATGCACGAAATCATGTGAACGGCTACGCATAGATGGTTTCGGAATATGGTTTAACGCGTACATCATGAACGTATACGTTTCAGGAATATGATTTCGTTGAGAATTGGTAAGCACAGGGTCCAGTACTAATCGAGCTACCCCAGTGGCAGCGCGACAGTGGTCTGCTACATGGCAAGTGATCTGCCTCTACGACACTTTTCATACGCTTGTGCCGGGGGGTTCCGCGACCCCTGAGTTTAGGGCTTTAGGTTAAGGAAGGGCTTTAGGGCTTTGGGGTTTTCGGATTTCCGGGCTTTCCGGATTTTTTCGGGTTTTGGGGTTGTAGGGTACGGGGTCACAGCTCATGATGCAGCGTCCGAAACCTCTAGTCTACCGCAGGGGGGCCTGGCATCAGCTGAAGAAAGAAGTGGGCCAGCGCCTTGGTATGAAATAGGTTTTAGGGTTTTGAAGCCCTAAACCTTCAACCCTGGAACGTCAAACCCTAAACTCCCTAGACGCGAAACCGCTTGAGCAAGTCTTGCGATGCTGGGGTGTTCAAGCTCTTGTTCTGCGGCCCAAAGCTTTAATCGGATTGGGGTTAAGGGTTTAGGGTTTAGGGTTTAGGGTTTAGGGTCTAGGGTCTAGGGTCTAGGGTCTAGGGTCTAGGGTCTAGGGTCTAGGGCCTAGGGTCTAGGGTCGAGGGTCGAGGGTCGAGGGTCGAGGGTCGAGGGTCGAGGGTCGAGGGTCGAGGGTTGAGGGTTGAGGTTTAGGGTTTAGGGTTTAGGGTTTAGGGTTTGGGGTTGAGGGTTGAGGGTTGAGGGTTGAGGGTTTAGGGTTTAGGGCTTAGGATTTAGGGTTTAGGGTTTAGGGTTTAGGGTTTAGGGTTTAGGGTTTAGCAGGCAGTTCAGTTACAGGGACGCAATTTGAAGGGTTTCAAGGGCCCAACTCGCCTCACGCAAGTTGCCTCCACCTGCCCTGGAAGCGTGGCCTGCGTGGGTTCTCCATGATTTTTTGCTGCTCTGTCTTCCAGAATCTTGGTTTGGTCTCGGTTCCTTCACAGACATGAAATCGACGAAAACACGCTACGCCGCCACCGCGTGTTCGTCCTGTCTGCCTTGCCTGGAAACGTGGCCTGCATGGGCTACTCCATGATTTTGCACTGCTGTGTCTTCTAGAACTTGTGTGTTGGCGTGTGATCCTTCGCAAACGTGAAATCGCAATTCGCCTTTTTTTTTTTTGGGGGGGGGGGGGGGGGGGGGGGGTGGGTAACTACGTCGGCGACCAATGATCGGACAGTTTTTTGATCTTGCTCGGGGAGTAGTCTACGCGAAGCGCAGACATCTGTCACAGACCGTCTCTTTGAAGGTGGCTGTTCCTTGGGCCACGTCGCCTCCACCTGCCTTGCCTGGACACGTGCGTGGGATCTTCCTATGATTATTCACTGCTGTGTCTTCTAGAAGCATGCTTTGGTACCTGTTCCTTGCAGACGTGAAGTTGACGAAAACGCCCTAACGCGGACAGTTGTTTACCTCTTGCTCGTGGAGTAGTTTACGTGAAGTGCAGAGAAACCAGCCTCCCAAACCTTGCCTCACCTTAGACGTGAACGAAGCCGACCCTGTAAATACCGAGACGAAAACCATCCCTGTAACTAAACCCGTTGGGGTTTAGGCGGGTTTAGGGGTTGAGGGGGTCTTAGGGTCTTCAGGAGGGGGAGCTCCAGGGTTGCAACCCGAAACCCTAAACCCGAAACCCACAGGGAGGGCGAACTGGGGGTTCAGGAAAGCTGGGGGATGTGGGGATGTGAGCCCCGCGACGCCGGACACGATGCCGCTGCCGTCAGGGCCCACAGTGTCCAGCTGCTGCTTAACCTGGGGTGGGGCATTCTGGATTCAGGGGTTCTAGGGTTTAGGGTTGAGGGTTTGTTCAGGGTTTAAGGCTTGGGATTGAGGATTTAAGGCTTAGCCTCTATAGCCTCTACACCCTAAACCCTTAACCTTAAACCCTCAGCCCTCAACCCTAAACCCTAAGCCTTAAACCCTAGACCCTAAACCCCAAACCCCAAACCCCGAACCCCCATTTCCAGGCGAGCGTCGCCCTCTGTGAGGTCCCAGATCTGGAAGTACCTGGGGCTCAAGGTTGAGCACGGGCTGAAGGCGGTTGAGGGGTTTAGGAAGGGTTTAGAATGCAGTTCGCACAGCACTAAACCCGAAAAGACCCTAAACCCAAAAAGCCCAAAAACCTAAAAACCCTAAACCCCAAAAACCCTAAAACCCGTAAAAAGACCCTAAACCCCTAAACCTTACAAGCCCTATGCATGTCTGGGTGTGCACGCACTTTATGGGGACTTTGGCCCGTTTGGGGGGGGCCGGGGGGGGGGGGGTGTCTCATCCGAGCTGCACGTCGTTGTGTTGGCCATCAACGCCTCAGAAGCTTTAACTCTTCAAACCCTAAAGCCTGAACCCTAAACCCAAAACCCTAAACCCTAAACCCTAAACCTTGGCCAGCCTTGGGCCCCAAGGGCCTGGAGCCTCGCCAGGAGCTGGTGAAAATAGGTTCTGCCCCCAAGTTGCACAAATAGGTTTCGGGTTTCGGGTTTCGGGTTTAGGGTTTCGGGTTTAGGGTTTCGGGTTTAGGGTTTAGGGTTTAGGGTTTCGGGTTCAGGGTTTAGGGCTTAGGGTTTGGGGCTGCTGGCCCTGAACTCATCCTCGCACTTGGGCCGGTGCTGATGAAGCCAAAGTTCTTCTCCTCGTTTAGGGCTTCGGGCTTTAGGCTTCGGATCGGGGGTTTAACGCTTCAAGGTCTGAGCTTTAAGATTGAGGGTTTTGTGCTTAGGGTTTAGGGTTTGGCTTCTGGCATTTGTGCTTCAGGGCACTTAAAGGAGTTAAGGGCTTCAAGGGCTCCAGGGTTTAAGGGTTGCGCGATTCATAGGCGATCACTGCGCCTTGGGGTGGCTTCATGGCTTGGTTGATGCCGTCTGTGGGCTTTGGCTGTAGTGGCGTAGGCCCAAAAAGCATTTTTACCTATGCCAAGGATGTCCACTCCAGCATCTGGATATACAATCTACCTCAGAGCTATCGAGGCCGCTCCAGGGTTTATGGCTCGCAGGCCTAAACCTTATAGGGTTTTGGGTTTAGGGCTTGGGGTTCAGGCATAAACCCTAAGCTCCAAAACCCCATGCTCAATGAGCGGGTGTCCTTCATGTCCCTTCTTTCGCAGTGGGGGGGCGGGGGGGTCTTCTTCCTTTCCGAGACCCCTAAGTGGAACCCGTGTTTTAGCAGAAGCCCCGCGCCCTCCCCTTTTTGGGTCCTAAACCCCTCTGCCCAGAACCCCAAGCCCTGAGCCCCAAGTGCTACTTGGATTTCTGAATGGCAGCCCGTGATTCGGCGTTGTACGACTTGATCCGGCCAACCAGTTCGCAGCCAGGGATGACCTGCTTCTCCACCTTCCCGCGGATTTGGGGTTTGGGGCTTAGGGCTTGACGCTTCGGAGTTTTGTTTTCTGGGCAGCTCCGCAAGACAAGCCCCAACCCTCGCAACCCACAATCCTAGAAGAGGGGGGCGTTCAGGTTCGAAACCCCGCAGCCTATTGGTGCGGGCGCAGCCTCTATCGTCGAAGGATGAAGGAATGGAATCACGAGGCTGCCCAGTCCACAAATGAACGTAACGCAGCTGAACCAGCTGCTGATGCACACGAAATGTGCTTCCCTCGGACACAAGACTGTCCTTTTCACTGTCGCATCGCTCGGTCGATGTTTGTCAGCCATGGAATCGGCAAAAGGAATTCCTGAGGGCATTGAGAGAAAACATCGCGGCACACCTTCACTTGTGCCAAGTATGAACTATACAGAATAGCCCATGCAGGACAACTCACATGATACACTTCTCGTGGCTTGCATGTTTCAGCCACCTGAGTCACAGCACTGACACACCCAAAGACCTTTGGCCGAAATGGGATATTATGTCATCTTGCTGCGTTTTGCAGAAACAAAATGTGGGTCGAACACCAACGTCCATGCATGTTGATGCATTGCCCGATGCAAAGCAGAGCTCACTTTATGCTTCGTAAGAGAGTCTGCTAACTGAGCATCACTATTGACCCATCTGGTGGTCGTTGCGCCAGAACGAAGACGCTGAAGAACCGAAAGCACTTCAAGAGCACCGTACTTATCACGTAGCCCGAGTCCGGCTCCATTGAGGTCGCCCTTGCGGATGACATCGTAGAGTGACTTTGCATCCGTCACCATGATGCCCGGCACTTTGCTGTATGCCTCTTCAGGACGTTGAATGTCTACCGTGTTTCCACACAGCTCAGACCAGCATAGTCTCACAAACATGAGCTCTTCTTCGCCCTCAGAGAAAGCTTGAATTTCCGCGGCCAATGATGACCTTGCTATCCTGGAGAGTTTGGATGAGCGCCATGATATCAGAGAGAGTGGCGCGGTCTCGCCGCTGGCCATATCTGGTGATGTAGCTGCTATGACATAGCCTCCTGTGCTTGAGAGATCCGCCCTATTTGCTAAAGAAGCGTCTGCCCAGCATATGAACTGGACATCACAAGGAGCAACACCGGGAAGATAGTTGATGCGAACGGAGAGATTCCGCATGCCATGGATTTCTCTACAGAGCTTGTTGGCTTCTCTGAGTGTCGCTACAGTGGCTTTGCCTACTTGGGATAAAAGCAGACCAACTTTAGCTTGATGTTGAGGACCCGTATTGTACGCACGCCATTGAGCTGCGCCAAGTAAAGCACGAAGTTGCCCGACTTCTTGCGGAGTCGCTGCATCCGACTCTTTTCTGTCTTTATCAACCGGAATTTGCTGAAGCCCCTCACAGTACTTGCTATGGTCCAAAACCTTTGAGCCATCACGAAGTTCTTTGATGACAACTCCACAATGTGTGTATGAGGTGTGCTCCCACGGACTCCAACGAAAATGGGCATGAAAAGACTTTAAAGCTTCGACCCAGGTGCTGTTGCTGTCCGACCCCATTACGAGGAAGTCGTCAACGTGTGATGATATAATTCCAATGGTCTCATAGCATTGTTTTGTCTCATTCCATTCTCGTAGACGCCAGCAGCAAGGATCGCAAAGAAGAGGTTCGAACCCTAAGGATTTCAACGTGTTGTCGACCGCGCGATAAAACTCGGCTGGAGCGTTTACCAGTCCGTACGCTGCCTTGCGTACTTGGACTGCTCGTCCTTCAGGAATGCCTAAGGCCCTGGCCAGTTCCGGAACGGGCATGGCGTATATCTTTCTTTCAACCTGAGATGCTGGCCCTTGTAAAAACGCAGCTTTAATGTCACCTTTCATAGTTTGCCAACCTCGCTGCGCTGCATATTGAAGCACCAATTGTCGTGTCCTTCGCGACATGGTAGGCGATGATGATACCAGCTTATCTAGATCTGGATCTTGAAATCCTAAGATCACAATCCTAGCTTTTGCTGCTCCAGACTCTTTGTAGCTGAGCACCCATCGCATCTGCATCACTCGCTCACGGGGAATGTGTCCTTCAATCGCTGCTGCAGCTTCAGCCTGCAACCATTGATCCACTTCAGCTTCCTTGGCTTTGTTGAAATCAGCCTTCTGATCATTTGACAGAGTCGTCCATCGTACCTCAGACTTTCGTAGGGCTTGAGCGATCCAAGCTGACGCATTCTTGGTAAACTTTCTCCAGTCCTGCTCGCTCTCGGGCATTTCCACGGAAAGTTCACACGCAGCCAGCTCGTTCTCTTGCAGATGGAACGCACACTCCTCTTCATCTTCGTCTAGCCACACCAGGTTCACTCTCTCCTCATCTTCCTTCTCTCGCCTTTCTTTCTGTCTCTTAAACTGTGGGTTCTGAAACAGAGGTCCGGAGGATCGTTTCGAAGAGGATGCTGTAGACGCTGGTTTGCTAAACACTTCATGTATGGGCTCTTTGGTATCGAGTAGTTGTTGTAGAGACATCTCTCCAACTTGCTCTTCACTCAGCTGCTCTTGTTTCATCCCAGATCGATTTCCATGCCCTTGCAGAGGACTTCTGGATCGCACATCTCTACTCCCGTGATTGCCTGACCCCAAAGATCTACCTCTTGACAAGGCACGTGTTCTAGACATAGACCTTCCACGGGGATCTCCGTCTCGTTCTCCAGCGGATCTTGCTCTCAGGCGTGTCCCGGGAGTTGGAATCGAGGATCCTGGGTTCATCAGGTCTTCAGGCAACACAAGGTCGTCATAGATGTCGTACTGTCCCTTCTGCAAGTGCTGAACCAGTTGATGAAAAGACCAACTCATGACGGGAGCCTCGGTTCCTTCGCTGATGATTTTCTCTGTTTGAGATGCATGTCTCAGCTGCCACCCTGCACATCTCTTGAGTCTGCCGTGCGATACAATCCAGATCACATGAGCTGGGCGACGTTCCAAACCCTGGGCCTCTGATCTTGTCTCAGTCGCAAGAACACGGCCAGGACCAAACCACCTGGATTGATGCTGCTTTGGGCGGATTTGATCGTGTGCCGGGTAGTCTGCTGGTGGTTTTACCCTGCGGTAGTATACGAGGTCCCCTGGGAGAAAGACTGCGTTCTTTCGGGTCTTTGAGTTCATGGCCTGGGATATTCTCCTGGCAGCTTGGGATTTTCGAAAGATGGTCTCCGCGCGCACCCTGGCCTGGAGGTTCTCCTGAAAGTTTGTGCCAGACGTGCCCTCAGAACAGTGAAGTGGAATGTTCTCATCTTCAGAAAACTGCCTTCTCCCTGCCGATATCTGTCTCCCAAACACCCATTGCAACGGTGTAAAACCTGAGACAAATTCATTCTCATTATGAGCTGCAGTACTTAGCACAAACGCTCGAAAGGGGTCCATCACAGTATTTTGCAGCAAAGTCAATGTGTTCTGCTTCAAGACTCCTACCATTCGTTCAACGATGCCAATCTGACCATGATCTTCTGCAGGGATAGGCTCAATTTCCACGTTGGCCGACGCGGCCCACTCTTCCAAGTCTCGACCACGAAAAGCACCTTCAGGGTCCAAACGTATTTTTCGGGGATATCCAAATTTCATGATCCACTCTCGCTCCACAGCAGATAGGACCTCGTCAGTCGTAGCATTCCGGCATGTATCTTTGTGTCTCCTGTGCATTTCAACGGCCACACAATACCCCGACGCTTCTTCAACGAGCAGAAGTATGTGGATAATTTCATCCCCAAACTTGAGGTCCAGGTGATCCATCTGCAAGGTCTCCCAGAGAATCTCGCTCCTATAGAGGCTGACGGGTAGATGTGACTGCTGCATTTTCATCTGGACACATTCATCACACACGAGGTGCTGTGCTATCTTCATGGTACGTTCATCAACACCTTTGGCCTTCAAGGTATTGCAAAGCGCTCGATTCGAAGGATGCCCACATCTCCGATGGAGTCGCATCACCTGGGCGTGCAGCAACCTATCACTCTTGTCCATCTTGTCAGGATCTTTGAGAGATTCATTCACCTCATCAAGTCCGAGATTCCACTCGTACATCATCTCTGCAGATGCATTCTCCTTGGCCCGGATCTCATCCGAGGTGATCATCTCATTTACGGCGCATCGCGCCGTGCCCATGGGAATTCGACCTGGACATCGCTTCAGATCACCATGCTCTAGACTGTGTTCATGCTGTCCACAACAACGACACTGCAGCATCTGACTCATACTTTGAGATGAAGTAGCCAGGCGCCATGCCACATTGGAACTGCGGCCTTCAGCGTCATGAAGCTCCTTGAAACAACACCCATCTACGAAGCACTCATGTAGACTCTGAGCATCACGGAGTTCACTCGCAAACTGCTTGTACCTGCTCCTCCTCCATGTGTTCGAGGCCTTGGGGATCTCAATCACGAAGTCCCTTCCTTCCAGATGCTGGAGCAGAGCAAGACGCACACAAAGATCTAGAGCATGTTTCCGACGTTTGCGAGCTTGACTCTCTTGCTTTGTTTCAGGCTTATTCTCAACGTGGTTCTCCTCAAAGGGCGGCGACATCCATATCCAGGAAGGGCGATGTTCCATCACCCAGGACACAATCTGATCATGATCCTTGGCACGAGTCACGTCGAAGCCTAAATTTGCTAGGAATGTGTGCTGGACTCCGCGCTGTTGAGACACGATAGAGATATTGCTGTCATGGCCACCCACTTCGAGGATCGAGAGAGATGGTCTGCCAGTCGGGTTCTCAACCTGAGGCAGACTGTCAACTGTTGCAGATACTTCTTCGGCATGACTGCTGAGCTCCTGATGCAGGAACTTCTTCTGCTCGCTGGTGAGCTTCTTGTTCTGAGCCCAGAAGGTCATCTCCTCGGGCGAGCACAAAGAAATCTGAGACTGGGGCGTCATTCTTGGCAGTGGAAAACCCAACTGTCGTAAGTCACCTCTCTGCTCTGAATTCAGCTGAGAGATACTCGACGAGGTATACGCCGCAATCACAAGTCTCTGGCCTGTCCACTTACATGTCGCATGCCACACTTTCGGGTCAAACACCTTGCATGCATGCAGTACGCTTGTTGCTCTGCCTCGAGATCTGCTTTGATCGGGCCGTACACGAATCTTCAGTTCATCACGAGGGCATTGTTCACCTGGGCCAAGCTCCGTCCAGAGTTCTCCCCCAGAATATGACCCCATCCCCGTGATCATGTTGAACGTGCCCTTTGCATTAAGGAGATCCCGATGCATACGACTGCCAGCATTGAGACCGACGGCTACTGTTGTCCATGTTGAGAATGCGATGCCCTGCACGTCCGCCTGGTACTTCAAGA